TTTTTTTTTTTTTTTTGTGGTCGCACGAAAGCACGATTAACAACAAGCGATTCGAATGATTTTGTTTCCGAGTATTTTATGAATAACAATTTATAAATTAACGAGCCATATAAGACCAGTATCTCTTCGACAAAGAAGAGCAAAGTCCAGTTTCCTGAATGAAACCCTAAAGAATCGGTCCTAAAAGCACTAAACTTATCAAGCAAATACAAATTTTTCTTGCCCCTAAAGGTCGACTAATTGCTAAGCCGAATATCCCGATCTGTTACTGCGTCTTTCCTTCAAAATTGTAACCTTGATAGATAAAATTTACATTCTTATTTTGTACTGATATAACTGTAATAAGCTTTAAACAAAATTTCCAAAGCTTAAATTAAAAAAGAAAGCCAACTATGCTTTCTAAGACAGTCTAACCTTTGTAATAAACTGTAAGATTTATTCGCTAATAACCCAAGTGATCGACGTAATGAAATAAAAAAAGAAAGAAAAAAGATTTATGAATTAAATTTTTTCACGAGTCGCATGAATCTCGCGTACAGTTTTGCTTTCTTGCCATCGCTTTCGAATCACCTGTCGAAGCTGTCCGTACGATTCGCGAAGGAGCCCCACGTAGAACGAAGAAACGCTCCTTCGCAACGTTTTTACTGCTTCTCGGGGTTTTTTTAGTGGCCTATGAAGGACGTGGAATCGTTTCCCGGGACGGTCTTCTAGAATTTGAACGTCTCGTTTGATGAGCCCGCGTAAAGAACGGAAGAAACGAAGGACGCTGGTTCAATTTCGTAGAGTTTCAAATTTTTAGGTCGAGGTCCGCACGTAGGAAGATCGAGAAACGCTCGAGATGATACTTACCGCGAACAGTATTGCACAAAATTTCTCTATACGTGTAAAGACTATATAATCATACGATTATGCACTTGTACAGTTCGTGCGAATCGTTCGATAGCTCGCATAAAATCCAATTCACTTGCGTCTTTACTTCCGAGTGTCACTTATGGTCTTGTTCTTTCTAAGAATTTCGCAATTCTCTAAAAAAGGTCCGAGGTTTAATGTGAATTTTATTATTTGCTGCCGAATATTCTTCACACACCGAATAAAACAAACTGTTAAAAATCCTCCTCGTTAAAACAGAAAAATCCTCCTGCTCGCTTTTTGCAGGGGAAAGAAAGAAAACACAGCATTTGTTGAGAAGAAAGGTTAAAAAGAAAGGAAAGAAAAGAAATGGTCAGAAAATTGAAAAGATGAAAAGAAGAAGAAGAGCTGAAGGAATCAGCGAATCAGCAAATTGATCGTGGTCGGTAATAACGCGAGGCGCGTTAATTCCGAAAATCGTCAGAGGCCGGCGAGAATGGAAAATGATCGCGCTCCATCGGCGTATCGCATGATTAAACCGCAGCCAATCGTCCACCCCTCTCCCCGTTTCGTTAATAGCCGGCGTTTTCATCGGAATAACAATTTCTCGCGGGTGGAAATTCCAGCTCGCTCGTCGTTTTCGAAGAAGACGACGAAACGACACCGACGCAATACGGTTTCGCAAGCGAACGCGTTTCGAGAGATCGGCGCAACAGGCGTTGCCCGTCGATCGCGCGTATCGATCGCTCAACGACCAGGCCGTTGTCTCGAATCTCGCGGGCCGTTTGTAATTAAAAGGTTCCGCCTGTTGGAACAACGCGAGATTAACAAGCTGCTGGGTTAATTAACTTCGTGCAGCACGTTCTGCCTGTGATCACATTGGCTCCATAATCCGGCACGAAGAATTACGCTCCGAATTTTTCTCTCCGTTTGATCGTTATTTTCAGGTTCACAGTCACTGTCACTTCGAACTGGGACTCGGGTAATTATATTCTGATATACACCTCTTCTCGATGATGAATAAAGTAAGAACTTGTGGCGCGATGATGTGATATTCGAGTGGAGCATTGTTTGACATTATTTGACAATTGTTGAGTTGAAAATTTCCGCTCGGAGAGTTTCAATGTTTTTGTGATTTAGGCGATTGTTCCTTCAGTGTTTTTCACATGTAGGAGTCCAATTCGGATAAACAATACTTGTAATATCGTCTACGGCCTTTCTAGATTATTTTGATTTCCTTCTTTCCTTCTTTCTATCTCGTATAAATATTTAATCATTAATAAATGAATGGATTTGGGGTAAAACTGAATATTACTTCGAAGAGTATCCGCCGAAAATTTTCCTCAGCGTATACAATGATAGTTATAAAAGTGAAAAGTTGTAGTTAAACTTTGATTCGCAAGTGCAGCACTTATGCTCGCCAAAGTCCCGTGAATCTACCTCAACGAAAAGCGAATCTGTCGTTTAAGCGCCGTTGCAAATACACATTGGGAAGCCTGTTATTCTCTCGCCTGCGGACACGAAATCACAGGCGAACCCGTAATTTTCACGAACGAACCCTTTGACCCCGGTTAAGGACGTATTGAACCGGTCGTAGAATTGTCAAACTCTCGCAGTTATCTTTGCACGCATATACATCGTCCTGGTAACTTGCACCTCGTCTCGCGCAGAAACTG